GCACGGTGCTGAGGGGCCCGTGGCTGGTTTCCTGCAGTGTGGGCAGCAGGACGCTGAGGGACCCGTCGTTGGCCTCGGGCACGATGCCCAGCAGCTTGCACATGAGCTCGTACACGTGGATGCTCTCGAAGGGCTCCACCTCCAGGCCCCGCTTGAAGCTGGGGCCCACGGCCCGGAAGATGGTCTTCATGTCTGTGACGTTGTTGTGAAAGCCGTGTTCCCCCTTGTTGAATTGCACGCTCAGTCTCTGCCGAGGAGGGAAGGTCCTGAGTCTTTGCGGGGCTCGAAGCACACCCCCGCCCTCTCTGCCAGCCGCATCGCTGTGTCGGCAGAGGACCCCCGGAAGGCGTTCACACGTAGGGGCAGGGGAGGTTCTCTGAATTCTGAGCCCCCAAGGATCCGCGGCCCAAGAGAGTGCCTCAGCAAAGACCTGGTGACAGAGGCGCTGACCCCAAGGACGCGGGGTGGCGCTGGCCGCCCGGGGTGCCTGTGCACACCAGCGCCCCCTCCCTGACTCCCCCTCCCAGCCTGCATCTGGCTTCCCCTCCGGCATCCCGTGGCTCTCAGCTGATGGCAGAGTGGGCCCTTTGCCCTTGTCCCTCCCACCCTCCCTCCCTCTCTCCCTCTGGCCGGTCTTCCCACACTTTGACCTCCACGCATGCACACGCACGTACATGTGTGTCCACGCATGCACCCAGAACGTGTACGAAGCACACACACGGATCTTACGCACGTACACACATGTGCACGTGGACAGACGCACTCCCACCACGTGGTGATGGGTATGTGCCTGTGGCGGCCCGCGCCCCTCAGACTGGGGGCCGGTGGGAGACGGAACTAGAGGGAGGCCCGGCGGCCCAGTGAGGGAGCCCGTCCCCAGCCGTGATTCTGCGGGCAGCTCACCCCGTGGATGACGTAGCCAGGGTCGCTGAACATGAGCAAGGGGGTGATCCTGGAGTTGTTGGCGTAGTGGAGGGACGAGGGGAAGGACTCCTTCTTGAAGACGTGGAGTTTGGGGTGGGCGTCCTTGAGGACCTCGTACACCTTCTCCAGCTTGCCCTCCTTGGGGAGCAGCATCCCGTTCGGCCCGTAGTCCAGGAGCTCAAACTCGATGTCCTTGAAGGTGAAGTTGGGGAACTTGTGGAACTCCACCAGGTCCGGGGCCTGCTTGTGGACGGTGGTCATGCCGTGGTCCGATGTGATGATCAGGTTGAGGCTGTCCTCCAGGCCGCTGCTCCTGATGCTGTCCCGGAGGTAGCCCACGGTCCTGTCCACCTGCATCACCATGTCCTTCCTCTGCTGGGACTCGGGGCCGTACTTGTGGCCCGTGGAGTCGGGCTCCCCGAAGTAGAGCGTGACCAGGTCCAGGCCCTCCCCCGTGAACCAGGTCATCACCGTGTCGATGTTGGCTTTCCACTCCTCCTCGTTTCCGTAGTTGTGCAGAGCGCCTTCCTTCCGGCTCAGCGTCACGGCCACGTTTTGGTAGGTGACGTTCCCGCCAGGGTAGAAGAAAGAGCCGGTCTTTAGGCCCTGCCAGGGAAGGTGGCGTGGGAGCCACGGGCCTCCTTGAGCTCGGCCCCTGCCTGCGCCCACCCCTGCCCTCCCCTCTGCCCACTCGCTCTGCCCTACACCTGCCCCAGGCGTGGGCCTTTCTTTGGGGGAAGCCCTTTTACAACTCTTATCTTACGTTCCCGGGGCCGATACCGATTTTATCGAGGAGAGAGCAGGTGCCCCGTGGACTCAGCACCGGTGCGATAACGGATATAGACATGTCCCCAGATACGCAGCGTCCTCATCATCACTACGGCCCTAGGCCCTTGCCCCGAGGCTGAGCTGTCCGGACGGCCCTCCCCTTCTGGCCTGGAGCCCGGCCCCTCCCCGCAGGATTCTCGTCCAGGTCCTTCCCCCGCGTCCTCTGGCCTGCCCTTGCAGCCTTCAACCTGGCCACCCATCCGCCTTTCCATAAATCGATGGCTGCTTTATTTCCAGATCCATCTGGCCCCCCAGCCACGTGCCCGCGGTTGTCCGCTCCCCCTGCGTCCTTCTGTTTGGACTGAGCGCCGCGGAGGCCAGGCTCTCGGCCCCTGCTTGCTGTGAGTGAGCCTGGCATCCGGGTAGCTCCTTCCAGAGCGGAGGGACTCCGACCTGCGTGGACACCCGGCCTAGAAGGTGGGTGTAGGCTCCGAAGTTCATCCTGGGCTCATCTTGAAAGCATCCGTTGGGCCTTGTTGACTAGAAACCACGCCTGTGGTGGGGCCAGGAAGCTCCCAGGACGTTGCAGGATGGTGAGCTCCCCGAGCTCAACCCCACAACCCACCTCTTACTTTGTCTTCCTCCCTCTGGAACTTAGCCGCCCAGCCCTGAGAGGAGCCGGGAAGGGGAAAGGCATCAGGCTGTTTCATTGTTATGTGCCTTTTGGTCGAGTGACGTTATTTTTCCCGTGGGGACCCCTCTGCCACTGCCAGGGGTCCAGGGGTGCAGTATTCCCTCCCGGCAGGGAGGACGGAGCAGCCCTGCTCGGTCCCAGGGCTCCAGGGAGGACTGGGCGGGGCGGTACCCACCGCCCCCAAGGCCCCTCTATGCTGGGAGCCCAGGACTCCAGGGCGGGGAGCGGGCCAGCGTGGGTCTCGAAAGGTCTTTCTGGGCCTGGTCCCTCCTTCCCCTCTCTCCCGACTGCCGTCTGTGGGGGCATTACCTGCCTCTGGGCTGTGATCCAGATGGGTAAGCTGCCATTGTCCCACCACATCTGGACGCCCAGCGTGGCGTGGTAGGGCAGCTTCACCTTGCTGGTGGTGTTGTAGTACATGTTGTGAACCACGCCGTGGTTCTCGATGTATTTGCCTGTGGGGAGGAGGCAGCAGAGGGGAGGTGGGAGGTGGGTGGGCTTTCTCACGTGCCGCCCCCCAGGAGCCCAGGTTTGGGGTCCCAGGCACATCCTCCCCAACCCAGAGGTTCCATCCGCGGTGCCGGTGACTTATCCTGCGGCTAAATGTGCGCACAGCGCAGCCCCACCCGTGCGGGGACGTCATTTGTAGCCTCTGGGTTTTAGCAAAGCCTGGGAGGGACCCAGATGGCTCTCAGGAGGGAACTAATTAATCAGTTACGGCCCGGTCATAACACAGAATCCCGGGCAGAAATTTAAATGAACTCCCAGCGGAGCTCTATCCACGAGGTATTTTCTAAAGTTCACTTTTTGCACGGGAAACACGCGCACGTGCGCTCAGAAGGCGCAAGAGGGGGGACGATGAAGAGTGTGCCCCCTTCCCCCGCACCCCCGTCCGCGATCTACGGAGGACGCAGGTGACGTGCAGGTGTTTGCAGTGGGAGCCGTGGTCACAGCATGCTGGCGTCAGGATGAGCCGTCCGTAAGGAATGGGGTCCCCCCTCCAAGGTCACGTCCCCCCAGAGCCTCAGCGTGTCACCTTGCTTGGGGATGGGGTCTTTGCAGGTGTGACTAGTGAGGTCAAGATGAGGGCAGTCTGGGTCAGGGTGGGCCCTGAGTCTATGGGCAAGCATCCTCACGAGATGAGGGGAGGCACAGGCGGGAGGGGCGGCTGGGGCTGGACCGACGGGCAGGAAGCGGGGAGCGGCAGGAAGGGCCCCCTGAGTCTCCCTGCTGACACCTGAATTGTAGACTCCCAGCCTAAATAGGGCGACGGTGGGTTCGAGGGGACCTCGGGGGCGGGGACAGCAGGGAGCCTCAGGCTCATCTCTCCTGCCTGCCTGTCTGAAAGCCAGCCACACTCACCACCTCCAGAAGCCCTCCCAGGTTGCCACCTTGGTTGGGGTCACTGTTTGAAACGAGACGGCTGGGTAGTTTTGTGCCTTGTGTCGGTTGTCACCGGCCGTGCTGCGTCTCCCCAGTGACAGCATCCCCTCCTGGGGGTCACCTTTGTCCCTGTGCGGCCCCCCCGGGGGGACAGGGCTCTGTGCATACACTGGGTGCCTTCTGTTGGTTCCCCCTGGTTGCTCAGCCCCCTCCCCAGCCCCAGGCCCCACCCGAGGCCAACGCTCACCAGTGACCAGGGTGAAGTGGCAGGGGCTGGTCATGGTGACGAAGGCCGGGGTCATGTAGCGTGCTTTCACCCCGTCGAGTGCCATGGCGTCCAGGTTGGGGGTGGGTACGTCCTGGTCATAGTCCCAGCGGAAGCCGTCAAAGGACACCAGCAGCAGCTTATTCCGGGAGACCTTCCTGCCGACGGGAGCCCCTGTCCCCGGAGCCAGGAGGGTGGCCAGGGCCACGGCGAGGAGGACAGCGAAGCGTCCCATGATGGGTTTTTCAGACAGGAAAGCCTCCGGGCTCGTTCCTGCTGAGGAGCAGAGCAAAGTCCCAGGGTCAGCCGGGCCGATCTGATCCTGTGCCTCTTTGAACACAAGACCTGCACATACCTGCGTCTCGGAAAGCGGCCCTGGTCACCGCACCTGCCACCCGGGCCCGGCCCTCACGTGGCATCTGCTTTTATTGCCAGCACAGCCTCCTGGGCTGGGTGCTCCTCCCACCTCGTGCCCGTGTGTCCTCACAGGGAGGGTGGGGACCGGTCCCGAAGGCCTGGATTGCAGAGGAGGCCACTCCCTCCAGAAGGCCTGTGTCCCCACTCCACCTCTCCTAGGCGCTCTCGGCCCCGGTGCCCTGCTCGCCCTGGCCCCAGAGCACTCGGAAGAGGGGGCTCCCTCGTCACCTGTGCTCATGGGGGTGGGCGCACGCGGGAGAGGGACCCCTGAGTTCAGTGTGCAGCCCCCTTCTCTGTCCCTGTTTCTGTCTCTGTCTCTCTCTCTCCCTCTCTCCGTACCTACGAAGCTCGTTCTATGAGCCGGGCACGGTTCTCCGTTCTGCGGACACAGAGTGAAGGAGACAGACCTGCTCCTGGCTCCTTTCATTGTGGTTGGGGACACACAAAAGACAATGAGTGGGCAGGTAGATCAGCAAAATAGTGAGGTTCTCGGAAAGAAAGCAGGCAGGAGGGTGAGACGGAGCACATGGCTGGGGAGGGGCAGCAGAGCAGGTGGCCGGCCAGGGCCGCACCAGAGGACGGCGTGGGTGGGAGCCAGGGGCAGGTCAGAGGGCGGCGTGGCGGGGCCTGGGGCCTGGGGAGCTGTGGTAGTACCAAGTCGGGCATTCTTGTGCAGGTCAGGGCAAAGCCAACCAAGGGAAGGACAAAACTGATCTAA